AGTTGAAGGCCGCTGCTACCTTCTCCAGACCCGCTCTTCACTTTGCCTGGCTGGCTGGTCTGTAGCTGGTTTGCAGTGCTCTAAGAGCATGCTTTAGGCCCCTGTGGTGGTTTTGCCTCATTAGATTAAGCACTGGGGTTTTTGGATTCAGAGCTCCTTGAATTATGGCTTTGTTTACAGAATAGGCAGAAAGACCCTTTCCCCCCGACAAGATGACTGCAGCATTGGTTGAACCCTGCTAGTGTTTTGAGAATAACAAGCACTTACGGTTTCACCAGGAAGTTTCCTTAAGTGAGATGGGATCGAATGTGGGAATTTTCCAGTCTTTGAATGCCGCTTTCTCTCAGTTCTAGCTGTCCCCCCCCCCCCCCGTTTCAGCCCTTTAAACAAGGCTCCCGCATCCTCACCCCACTGCTGTGACGTCTCCTTCCCCCTCACATTTGGTTCGGCTCACTTTGCCTTGCATGTGAGCTTCCCATTTGTACCTCTTTCTTGCCTTCTGGGTTGCGAATTCCATCGGGTACAATAATTGTATGTGTATCCCCGTACAATGCCTAACTTGGTTAATAATAAATTTCTATTGAAATGACTTGGCTGAGAGGAAATGTAGCAAGTGAAATTTCCTGGATCACTTTTGCAGCAAATACGAGTACAGTCGCAGTGGATCAGAAAGCAGCAGACACCACCGTGGGGCACTAAGGTGGGGCACCTTGGCGGATAGCAGCCAATAGATAGTTGTACAAGCCGGGGATTGTCTTAGTTAGGGTTCCTATTGCTGCAGTGAAACACCAAGACCAAGAAGCAAGCCGGGGGAGGGAAGGGGTATTTGGCTTACACTTCTGTACAGTTGGTCATCATTGGAACCTGGAGGCAGGAGCTGATCCAGAGGCCATGGAGGGTGCTGCTTACTGACTTTATCCCCATGACTTGCTCAGCCTGGTTTCTTATAGCACCCAGGACCACTAGCGCAGGCATGGCACCACCACCAGTGGGTTGGGCCCTCCCCTATCAATCACTAATTAGGTGGGCCCTCCCCTATCAATCACTAATTAAGAAAACGCCTTACAGCCAGATCTTATGGAGGCATTTTCTCAATTCAGCTTCCCTCCTGTCAGATAACTCTATTTTGTGTCTCAAATTGACATAAGGCCAGCCAGCACAGGGATGAAGAAGGGTCACATAGTTTAAGTTAAACATCCACTCTATTATCTTATGACTTTACTTCCACATTTTACCTTTAATAATGAAGATATGTCCATACAATGACATGTGTGAAGTGTCATTCTTTTTTTAATATACAACTTTTTATTTAAATTAGAAACAATCTTATTTTTATTAAAATTAGAAACAAGCTCGCTGTCCATGTCAATCCAAGTTCCCTCTACCTCTCCTCCCTTGCCCCCCACTGAACCCCTATCCAATCCCTTTCTGCTCCCCAGGGAGGGTGAGGCCTTCCATGCGGGATCTTCAGTCTGTCACATCATTTGGAGCAGGGCCTAGGCCCTCCCCCGTGTGTCTAGGCTGAGAGAGTATCCTTCTATGTGGGGAATGGGCTCCCAAAGTCCATTCGTATACTAGAGATAAATACTAATCCACTACCAGAGGCCCCATAGATTGCCCAGGCCTCCTCACAGACACCCACGGTCAAGGGGCCTGGTTCAGTCCTATGCTGGGTCACCCAGCTGTCAGACTGAGTTCTGTGAGCTCCCACTTGCTCAGGTCAACTGTTTCTGTGCGTTTCCCTAGCATGGTCCTGACCCCTTTGCTCATCACCTCTCCCTCTCTACAACCGGATTCCAGGAGTTCCACTCAGTGCTTAGCTGTGGGTGTTTGCTTGTGCTTCCATCAGCTACTGGATGAAGGCTCTAGGATGGCATTTAAGGTAGTCATCAATCTCATTAAAGCAGCTTCTCCACTATTGGAAAGTCTCATTCTTAATAGCCCCAAATTGGAAACAGCTAAAATGTCTACATCCATAATGGAATACTGTTCAACACATAAGGTAAAGAACTGCCGGTGCATTCAATAGCAGACACTAGCCTCAAAAGTGTCATGCTAGCTGGGAGGTGGTGACACACAACTTTAATCCCAGCACTGGGAGGCAGAGGCAGGTGGTGAGTTTGAGACCAGCCTGGTCTACAAGAGCTAGTTCCAGGTCAGCCTCCAAAGCCACAGAGAAACCCTGTCTTGGAAAACCAAAAAAAAAAAAAAAAAAAAAAAAAAAAGATACATGCGATTGTATGAAATTATACCTCAAGAAGAAGACAGAAAGAAGTTGACCAGAATACCAATGATTTGGGTACTCTGTTATTTTGTCTCTGGAACTACTGGAATGTTTGAGAAAGGGGGACACGGGTGATATTGGGCATACAAATTTTCTTTAAGGAGTTACAGAATGGAGAAGAAATTGTAACCTTGAAGGGTGGCAACCAAAGAAACGGAAATGACCACAATGAATTCAGGAGAATCACCCAAGAAAGACCCATAGACTGCAATGATTGGTCCCTAAAGGGATGAAGTTGTAGGCACACTCCGACTTGGTTATCTTTGTGAAACATGCTGATGATAGTTGAAGTCAAAATGGGATGAGTTGGGGCTACATGGAGGAGAAAATGAATAGTAGGGTGGAGTACTCAAAATCTATCACCAAAGCAAATATTCAACTTGGCTAAGGTTAAATTCTAAGACCTTTTCCACAGCCATCAGAAGTGTTAGAAGAACAGAGGACAAAGATTATGGGACTAATAAGAGGAGGTCATAAGATTTCGTGCTTGAGAGATTCAATGCAGAATGAAGGCTTGTGGACATTGCTGACTTTCATAAGGACCCGGCCTGAAGTCTCTGTTGAGTGTGATGTGTAAGATGGAGACAAAGAACTCGAGAGGTGATTTGTCCTGCATGCTAGAAGAGGGCACCGTGCTGTTTTGGCTAGACACAGTGAACCCAAAGTGGAAGCTACTCAAGAACATAGGGATGGAACCCTGATGTCAATCTGGTCCTACCAAGCCCAAACAGCAGAAGCTGGTGTCGCGTGCTGAGCACAGCTTGGACTGAGAATTCCTCAGGAAACACCAAGTTCACTGCTTTGAGGAGAGCTAGTTCTACTGCTGAACAACTCTCAGTGGTGGTGTTGGGTCCCATGATTGAGATGATGATAAAAACAATGACGGAGGGAGAAGGAAGATGTGATAGGTAATGTGTACTGAGCAGTCTGCTAAATAATCTATATCATCTTATTTATCCTTCGAAAAATCATCGTGAGGTGTTGCTATCATTATCTGGACCCCTTACAATGAAATGATAGCACAGAGAAGTGGAACAACTTCCTTGGGATCACATAGATTTAGCCAGAGCCTTCATAAGGTTAGAAAAAGCTGCTTAGTAGTGATTCCATATCCACCGTTCTGTAATTTCTATCAAATCATAATTTCTGCAGTGATCAATATCAATAAACAAAACTTTTCTGTATCTTTTAAAATATGTTAAGAGAGAAAAGACTTCCTTTTGAGTTTCTCTCCTTTGGGTTAAATGTGTCTGTTTTCTAAAGCGTTTCCTGAGATGTATTTAGCTTGCTTCCCATCCTGCTCACACACTACTGAATAATACTGAGTTTGCAGTTATTCTCACTGGAGGTAAAACTTAGACGTAAACACAATGCTTCAAGTTACGGCTCAGATAACACGGAGTAAGTCTGGGATGGAGTAAGATGACACAGTGTTTCCCAGTCTGGGATGGAGTAAGATGACACAGTGGTGTTTCCCAGTCTGGGATGGAGTAAGATGACACAGTGTTTCCCAGTCTGGGATGGAGTAAGATGACACAGTGTTTCCCAGTCTGGGATGGAGTAAGATGACACAGTGTTTCCCAGTCTGGGATGGAGTAAGATGACACAGTGGTGTTTCCCAGTCTGGGATGGAGTAAGATGACACAGTGGTGTTTCCCAGTCTGGGATGGAGTAAGATGACACAGTGGTGTTTCCCAGTCTGGGATGGAGTAAGATGACACAGTGTTTCCCAGTCTGGGATGGAGTAAGATGACACAGTGGTGTTTCCCAGTCTGGGATGGAGTAAGATGACACAGTGGTGTTTCCCAGTCTGGGATGGAGTAAGATGACACAGTGGTGTTTCCCAGTCTGGGATGGAGCAGATAGCGGAGGACTGGGCCTCGGGAAAAGCCCACATGTAAGACTATGAAAATGATACTAAATCAGAACGTGAGCAAAAGAAAAGGGAGTTTAGCTTAGAAACAGGCGGCTTATGGGAAAGACGCACTGCAGTGTAAATACAAGTTGAGGGGAAACTGAGGCGAGGGAGGGTTTAAGAACAAAGGGAGTGGTCTGCGTTGTTGAGTTTCGCCGAGGAGCTAATGCACAGGTGTCCTGAGAAGCTGGGAACATGTGGTGTTTGAGAGAGCAGTTGAGAAGAAATGCAGACATTTTGAAAAGAAAGGAGGACCTGGTAGGTTGATTGACCCTCCTGTGGATGGCCCATAACCCATGAGTATATGGAGTATATGGGTAGTACAGTTGGACTCTGTGGGTCATTAAAACAAAGAAAGAGGACATGAAGTCGGGAGAGAGTAGAAGGTGGGAGAGGTAGATCTAGGAGGAGTTGGGGTAGAGGAATGGGGATTGCTATGATAAAGAGACATGGTATGTGTGTGTGAAATTCTCAATGGATTAATAAAAATGTACTTTTTAAAAAGCACGCACGATGGCTTGTTGTTATCCCTCATTACAAAAGGAAAGACAGGAGCCCAGTAGCCGAGAGAGGTGGGGCAGTCATTAGGGGTCAGTGAAATGGGGCAGATGCTTGGGAGCGGAAGTGCCAACAGGAAGACTGGCGTCGCCGCTGTGAGTACAAAAAGGGGCGCATGCGCAGGTACACGTTAACGGAGGTACCTCGAGGGCGGACAAGTATCTGAAGGCAAGGGCAGAGTGTAGGGCTGGCGATAGCCACCTCACTCACGCTGCAAATTCGAACTTGTTTCAAATGCCCCGTACTAACTTCCTGTTTCAGACCATCTCACAGTGTTAAGACAACACAATGGACCAAACCACAAAAGCCATGTGGTGTTATAATTACATCATGATTGGCAATGCCTGGTAAGCAAGCGTTTCTTCATGCTGGACTGGACGAATATCCCAGGGTTCCAGTGGCTTTCCTTGCATGGTTTTCATCCACGCCTGCCATTCCCAGAGCAGTAACAAAAAACCAAGTTTCTCTTTGCCAGGTATTCTCAATCATTTTTAGCAGAAAATGTCACAGCCGTGTGCCCTGTGAAATGAGTTTGGAACCAAGTCAGGAAGTATGGAAAAAGCGTTTGGTGAGCCGAAACAAATAATTCGTCTGGGGGGTTAAGGCTTATTTTCTTGTGGGATAAATCTGAGGCCTCACTCACGGAGGACTAGAGCTGTTGGAAACACCCATGCAGCGTGGGTCATATGAAGGGCATTCTGTGGACTCTTTAATACTGGGCACATTGGTGTCCTTTAGGACATAGAATTATCCCGTCTTTGGAAATAAATTACTTAACAGATGAAGACTTGGAGGCTCAGAAAAGCAGAAAGGGGCGTGTCCACCATCACACAGGTGGACTGAGAGCCGGCTCGTAACCCTTTTCTTGAGTGTAGCATGCTCTCCACCTCCAGATGCACCTGTAAAGAAAACCTGCCTTGAAATGAATTATTTCAACTTTTCCCCCAAAGCAGTTTCGACTTGAGAGCATCTCTGAGTCTGCCGGTTATCAGCAGACATGTGGAACAGATTACAGGACCCCAAATCAGACCCACGTGCATAGGGTACCACTTACTAAGAGCACAGCTGACATCTCAGACCAGGCAGGGGAGAAGAGCCTATTCACACAAATGTTGCTGGAACAGCTATATAACCACGAGAAAAACTAAATTGGAATTCCACTTCATAGCATGCACAAAATCAATCCTAGATGGCTTACTAACTTAACTGTGAAGGGCAAAATGTAAAACTTTAAAAGAAGATATGAGAGGATCTCTTCATAACTCCAGGATAGGAAAGGTATTGATTTTAAAACCCAATGTAAAAATAAAGCTCACAAACAAGAGATTGTTAACTTTGACTCTGCTAGAATTAAGATGGTGTAACAAGGAGGACTCTAAGAAGGAAAAAAAGGATTGCCCTGGCAAGGGGAAATAGATGAGATCTCCTGGGTAAACTGGCAGTGGGGGGATGGGAGAGGGGAGGGGGTGGAGGATGGGAGCATGAGGGAGCAGGATGGTTCAGTTGGGGGAGGGATGGAGAGGGAGAGCAATGAAAGAGATATGGAGAAACCTGGTGCCAGGGAAACTTCCAGGAATCCACAAGGATGGCCCCAGCTAAGACTCCTAGCAATAGTGGAGAGGGTGCCTGAACTGGCCTTCCCCTGTACTCAGATTGGTGACTAGCCTAACTGTCATCATAGAACCTTCATCCAGTAACTGATGGAAGCGGATGCCGAGATCCACAGCCAAGCGCTGGGTCAAGCTCCTGGAGTCCAGTTGAAGAGAGGGAGGAGGATTATATGAGCAAGAGGAAGTAAAGATCATGAAACCCACAGAGACAGCTGACTTGAGCTCATGGGAGTTCATGGACTCTAGACCAATAATAGCTAGGGAGGCCACTTGAGACCCTGTGTATGTGGGTGAAGCCTGCTTAATGAACAACAGATTTTCAAAACAGAATTTCTGCAAATCTGAAAGAAAAGGGCAAACAACCTGGAAAAGTACAGAACAAGTACCATTTCTGGTATTTTATTAAAAAAAAGAAACACAAAAATCCATTTAATCCCCCCAGTAATCTAGAAAATTAAAACCATGATGAAAAACAAGTTCACCTGTCCTCAAATGTAAAGCACTCACAATACTAAGTATTGGTGAGGAAACAGAGCAAGTGAGCTCTCGTTGCTGGTAAGGAATGCACAGCAATGCAATCTCATTGGAAAACATGCCAGCATTACCTAGTACATGTGAAAACATGTATAGCCTCTCTTTCAATGCATATGGTAGATAAACACCACACACACACACACACACACACATGCACACACGCACGCACACACACACACACACGCGTGTGTGAGGCGGGTGGGGGTGGCACACGCCTCTTATTCCAGCACTTGGGAGGCAGAGCCAGGTGGATCTCTGTGAGTTTGAGGCCATCCTGGTCTACAGAGCGAGTTATAGGATGCCAGGGCTGTTACACAGAGAAGCCCTGTCTCAAGAACAAAACAAAACAACCAACCAACAAACAAACAACAATCCCAGGGGACTCTGCAGTAAGAGATATTAAAAAATATTCTCCGAACCACATTGCTGCAAAGGAGAAAGGCCCGAGAAACAAACTAGCAGGCCAAATGTTTGTTGACAGCAAATAGATCACTTGCAATACATTCCTGCACTGTGAATGTGTGAAGTCTGCATTTATACCTCAGTGCACAGGAACCTCACAAACACTACTGCACAAGAAACACTAAGCTGCCCAGGGGTAGCCACACCTATTGTGTGCTACCCTTTCCATAAAAGTTAAAAAATGTAGCTGGGCGTTGGTGGTGCACACCTTTAACCCCAGCACTCGGGAGGCAGAGGCAGGTGGATCTCTGTGAGTTCGAGGCTGGGCTGGACCGATAGCCTCAAGCAATACAGAGAAACCCTGTCTCGTAAAACCAAAAAAAAAAAAGTAAAAAAATGTAAAATAACAAGCAAAATATTGTTTGAAATGTAGGACCAACAACAAAGAAAGCCAGAGCTCAAGATAATGGCCAGCCATGTTACTCGGAAGGCACACAGGGCCACCAAGGACTTTACAATTTGCTCTCACGTGGTTTGATATTTACATTGGTTTGGTCAATTGTTGTACTTCATATGTGCACATAGGGAATTTTGCAAATGTGAGTTCCATAGAGGAGTCAAGAAAGGAACTTGCAAACACCCTGAATGCCTAGCACCCTGAACGCCTAGCGCCCTGAACCATTTCTAACTAGTACCGACCCTCTGCGCTCTTCTCAGTAGATCCAAATGTCTACCCTGGCACTGGTACAGTATCGTACATAAGAATAACTTGAGGGAGAAATAAATGGCTGAGCGATATCTGGAGGGATGGGTGGGCAGATGAGAGTGTGGATGGGACGTCAGCAACCAGAATTCCCCTTCTCTGATCTCACGAACTCATTCAATCAGATAAATTAGGGTCATCTGATTTAGCATAAGCCTGATTAAATGTTTTTTTTGAAAACAAAAGAACACTATACGTAGATTAATTTTGTTCTCTACTCACCCCCCCCCATCCTCACCAGTCTGCCTGGAGAATTGTCTCTTCTCGACCCCCTTGTGTCCTGATCCCACAACTCTTCTCCAATGCCGGCAATTCGATTTCTTAGCTGCACTTTGATTAGAGACACCGTTTTCTGGGTTGCAGGCGTCCACCTTCCTATGCCTTTTAGGCTGCAGCCTAACTCATCTGTTCATTTTGCACCTATTGCAACATCTGGCAGATTGCTAGACAGCACACACTTCTTTTGGAATTAGCGGACACTGAGATGCAGACCATGAAAACACTGACCCTAAAGTCAATGGCTCAAAACCACAGCAGAATAGGGATCTCAAAACCAAAAGGTGTGCGGAGGAAGGGGTGGGAGGTGGGTACAAAGTCAGCCCTAGGCTGATTATGGGAGGGGGCACAGTTTAAATTAAACCCTGAAGTCTTGCTGAGTCTTCTGCTAAACCAAGCAAGTCTGCAGCAGGGCAGGAAGTGGTTCCGGGATGTTTGTTTGGGCTTGGATGTCTTTGGAAGACGAAATAAAAGTCAGTTTGGTGAAAATAGGAAATTCTAAATGGAAATTATTTTTCTGGTTTATCTCTAGAAAACATTCACATGAGAGTACCCTGGCAGGTGACAAAAACCAGGAAGAGATGCAGGTGTAAGCAGGTTGATGTGAAGGACGGAGAAGCACTGTTGGGACTAAAAGCACCCCTTTCCTCCTCATTTCTTTGTTGACCCTGAACTAGTAGAGAAGCCAAAACCTACTTATAATATTTTTCCAGTAGAAACTGCTGGAAACGCTTCTTTTAAAAAAATCCAGCTGCATAATGGTAGCCCACGCCTTTAATCCCAGCACTCAGAAGGCAGAGGTAAGAGGACCTCTGTGAGTTCAGGGACAGCCTGGCCTATAGATCGAGTTCTAGGACAGCCAGGGTCACACATAAACACTGTCTTGGAAAACAAACAACAAATAAAAACCCCAAAACAAACAAACAAAATCTGTCCAGTCCAGGCCTAATCTTATTTATTAAATTCTTCCTTCCAAAATTAAGTAAAGAAGTTCTTTGTTAGAACTCAGAGATGGCTCGGGCCACTTAGCTCCTTCTAGTCTCATATCTGGGCTAGATAAACAGAGTTAGGGAAAACTGCTGCCGAGCTCCTGGGTCAAATACCTGCCATTCGATGAAAGAGTCACCACTTGTGGGCCACTCATGGCGTGTTGATCTCTAAATCAGCAAACATGCTCTGTCCTCATGATGCATAGAACAGTGGTAAAAGGTTGGCTTGCTATTCCCATTTTCTGTGTGAGAAAAAAACAACAACGGGACTTTGAGGAATAGCCCACACTAAATCACAGTGCTGAGGCTGTTCTCTGGGGGACATCAGATTTCGGCTCCTTCTGAGGGATATTGATGAAGAGCCATCTCTCGAGAACATAGGCTCTGTATGAGCAATGTCAGCTGTTTCTACTGAGAGTGCAAACCTCCACCACTGTCTCTAGCCAGTGGGAAGCTTGTGGGTAAGAATCAGCACAGAAAACATCACAGGAATCACACAACTCAATACATCCGGTGGTTTGGTTTTGTTTGGAGCCCACATAGAACAGCAGGGCTTTGAGATGCTACCGGATGAGGACTTCAAACTGCCAAATTGCCAAAGCTTTTTTTTCCTTGCCTCTGCCTTCCCTTTCTGTGTCCCCTCCTTACTTGCTTATTTGCTTGCTTCCTTCCTCCAGATTCCCTCTCTTCTTTTTTCCCTCACTTCATCCTTCCCATCCTTCCTCCAATCCTTCTTTCCCTCTGCCTGCTGTATCATTACAAATACCAAGCAACATGCTAGGAGCCAAGAGCAGAGACAAAAAAACAAAACAAAACAACAACAGCAAACAAACAAACAAAAACGGCATCGAGATGTGATCACTTATCACCTGGGAGTGCAAAAAGGGCTGCAACCCCAGGGAAAAGAGTGGGCAGAGGGTGCCAAACCCATCCCTCTTTCTCCCTTCTCCAGTAGGCTGTATTCTCCTGTATTCGCCGGACAAGGACTCAGGTGCCCGAGCCTGAACCTTGAGGGCGGGTCTACAAATGAACCAAGCCAGACAGAAGGGAAGCAGGGTGCTTCAGTCCTGCGAAGGAAGATTCATCAAACCAGGGATGGAATGTAAGAGGGGACCAGAGACCAGCAGACAAATCCCCAGCTCAGGGGGAGTGGGAAAGGAAATAGCTTGGAGATCAGTGGAATTCCTCCTGACTGGCTGTGCCCACACCCCCACCCTCAGCCCTATCCGTACCCAGACGGACTTTAGTGTCTCTCTTCTCCATCCTTAATCTTGTAAATAAGAATGGAAAATATGTAAATTATGCCTGCCTTGGAGAGCAGGACAAAGCTGAAGCTTGTCTATTGAGAAGGGGGGGGGATGATCCCTCCCCATATTTATTTATTAATTATTATTATTATTATTTCAGGGAGAGGGAAAAAAGCCAGAAATATTTCCAAAATGTCAACACTATTAAGGAAATCTGAACACCTTAATCCATTTAAATGTCAGCTAGAACCAAGTGTGGGTTTGGAAGTAAGGAGGGGTAGAGGGAATTAATGCCAGATTCCACATAATCTATCAAAGTTTCTTTCTTTTCTTAATATATTAAATATTAAATGCTTCTTTGCATCTGACTGAGAGAGAAGAGAGAGAGGGGCCAGGGTGGAACTCATAAATGCCTAGATAATTGGTTTTGAGGTTTTTTTCCCCCCTTCTTCTTCTTTCTTTCTTTCTTCTTGGCGGATTCTCAATTTCCCTATAAAAGAGAAAATTCATTTCCAGCCGCTAATGTAATGTCAGCGTGCTGTTTACTAAGCATGGATGATGTATAGGGGGACACTACTTTCAGAGGACTACTTAATGATGCATAGAATTAAATCCTGAGCTCCTCAGCTGAGCCTCCTCCCTCCCTCCTGGTTCCCAGGCTCCCAGTGCATCCTGGGAGGAGCGGGCTTGGCATAACCTGCCTTGTTCCTTGCTGGAATTCTGGGGTCTCTGCCATGGAAGCTCAGAAATAGCTTGCACGTTTGCCCTTGG